TATTATTTCATATTTTATGTCTTTATTTATATAATTTCTTTTCTTTTTAGCATCAACTACTTTGATTACTATTTGAGTAGATTTTGACTCCGTAGCAAGCGCGGAATTAAATGATTAAATATGTTGAATGATCAATTTTAATATTTAAATGCGTATAACAAAGCATATGATTTTTAATATCTATAAATGTATAAAAATTATATGTATTGTGCATAATGTACTAAAGTTAAATTTTGATCAAACATATTTTGATGACATTAGTTTTAATATTTTTTGTATAAAATTGACTATAATATATGCAAATGTATATATTTTAAGTGTAAAAATTAATTTTCATTGCGACCAACAAAAAAATTGGTTAATCTAATATTACTTTAGTTTGGTTTAGATTTGTAAAATATGTATTAATGAATTTATGTTATAAAATTAATAAGAAGATGTAAAAATTTTTACCATGATATACAATTTTAACTGAAATATTATGATCAGTCAATTTAAATAATTTGACCATTAAATCGCTTCTTGAATGACATATAGAATTTTCTAGTTAGTGTTTTCTTAATTAATATACAGAGGTTTTGTGTTAGCCATTAAGCCTATAAATCCGCACCGACAAAAAACTACTATGACGGACCCAATAGACTTAAATGGGCCAATACCTAATTTACAAAAGATACGAAAGTTATTTACGGCCTAACTAACTTGTTTTTCTTGCAAGCCACTTGAGAACACAACATGCAAATGGTTGTGCACTTGTGCTAATGCTTGTATTGGCCTCTTGTGTAGCCAATGGTGTATTTTTGCAAGATATCTCAATTACTTATAGATTACGATGAGTACATGATGTTTTCTCACAATAGGCCAAAAGATCACCTAGTTATATGATGAGTACATGATATTTTCTCACAAATAAAGACATAGAAATTTATAAAAACAACTTGTGCATATGTATGGATAATCACTCAGTTAGTTATAATTGATGCAAATGAATTTTACATTGTTTAAATAAATAATTCTGAAAATGGTGATGCAAATTTATATTTATTGCAAAAAAATGATATTAATTTCTAGGGGTGAACCTCTCTTATTCACTCCCTCTTAATTAACATTAAGTTGTGTTCTATTGTAAACTAGTTTTAATGCATACAGGAGTATATTAAGCGATTATGCCTTCTCAAACATTCCATAGTTCAAATTGGACTATGAAGATCAAAACGAATGGTTTTGATCATGTGAATGTGAAGATCCGGCAAAAAATATTTGTTCTCTATCAATTCAAACATTTTCTAAGAAAATACGTAGTCCATATTCTCAAATAAATTATGTTTTGGAAAAATGATTTGGAACTAATGAGATTCCATTTATTTGGAAAAATTAGCAATTGAGATGGATTTGCGGTTAACCGGTAGACAATCTTAAGTCGGACACGATTTAGATGAGTTGGAGGTTTTTTTCACAAAATAATTTAGTTAAATGTTAAAAATAGAAGTTAAAAATTCAAGATTTTAATTAGAAAAATAAATTTAAAGTTTTTTCACAATGCCACTGCTAATACCTTTGGTCATATTAAACTGCACAAGTTATGACCAATGCCTAAATAACTTGTGTATTGGCTATTGAGAAAGATGTCATTCTTCAGTTGAAATTTGTCTAGTAGGTATACTCACACGGCTTGCTCCCAAAGAAGCTTGTTCATGATGACAGCTTTCTTCCGTTGGGAGAAGGATGCCATGTTGATGAGCTTCGACGCAAATGCTTCATTCCTCTGTGCTATATTGTTGAGCTTCCGGAAGATTGTCTATGAGCATGATACCACCAAGTGCTTTCTTAACGCCTCCTAAGGACCATCAATGACATTGCAATTGTTTGGTTTCCATGTAGAAGTGTCACAAAGCTTTAGGAGAAGGTAAATC